AGGAGACTCGCTTGAGCCCAGGAGTTGGAGGTTGCTGTGAGCTGTAATGCCATGGCACTCTACCCAGGGGGACAGCTTGAGGCTCTGTCTCAAAAAAATAAAAAATAAAAAATAAAAATAAAAAAATAAAAAGAACTTGAGTTTGCTGTGAGCTATAATGCCACAGTACTCTAGTGAGGGCATCAGTGGCTCTGTCTCCAAAAAAAATAAATTTAACAAAAATGTCAAACACTCTAAAAACTATAAAACGTTGAAGTCAAAGATGATCTAAATAAAGGGAAAACATCCATGTTCATGTATTGAGAGACTTAACATTTGTTTTTTTTGTTGAGACAGAGTCTCACTATGTCACCTTCAATAGAGTGCAATGTGACATCAGAGCTCACAGTAACCTCAATCTCTTGGGTGTAGGCAATTCTCTTGCCTCAGCCTCCCAAGTAGCTGGGACTACAAGTGCCTGCCACAACGCCTGACTATTTTTTTGTTGTAGGTGTCATTGTTTAGCAGTCAAGGGCTGGCTTCAAACCCACCAGCCCTGGTGTATGTGGCCAGTGCCCTAACCACTGAGCTATGGGCACTGAGCCAATACTTAACATTGTTAAAATGGCAATGTTTCCCAAACTGTTCTACAGATTCAATACAATCCCTACCAAAATCACAGCCGACTTTGAGACTGAGTCTCACTTTATCGCCCTCTGTGGTGCCTTTCCATCATAGCTCACAGTAACCTCAAACTCTTGGGCTCAGGTGTAGGTGTAGCTCCCAAGTAGCTAGGATTACAGGTGCCTGCTGCAACACCTGATCTTGCTCAGGCTGGTCTTTAAATCCTGAGCTCAGGTGATCCACTGGCCTCAGCCTCCCAAAGAGCTAGGATTACAGGCGTGAGCCACCGTGCCCAGTCCAGCTGACTAGAAATTAATGAGCTGGGAGTGGGGCAGGACAGGGAACGGGGATAATAGCTAACAAGTACAAAGTTTGAGGTGATGAAAGTGTTCTAAAATTGACAATGATTATGTCTCAGGTTTATGAATATACATAAACCATTAAACTGTACACTTTGAATAAATTGTATAGTATGTGAATCATTTAATAAGGTTAAAAAATAGCACCAAGGAAAGATCATTTACAAGAATAAAAAGTGGCTCAGCGCTTATAGCTCAACCGGCTAAGGCGCCAGCCACGTACACCTAAGGTGGCGGGTTTGAATCCCCAGCCCG